GTGCCCGAGTACGGACGGCGGCCCGCGCTGCGGCGCGTTTGAAAATCCGCGAAGCCGCGCTTGCGCGCGACGGCCGCCCGGGAGTGCGCGACGCGTTCGAATTCGGGCGGTGCGCGTCTCGGCTCCTCCTCGCGGGCCTGGCGACCCGGTGGACGTCTTCGCCGCTCGCGGGCAGGAGCGGGCAGGAGCGGGCAGGAGCGAGGAGGGACGGATAAGGTGCATAAACGCGAGAGCGCGCGCGCGTTCCTCCGTGGCCGCTCTCGCGAGAGCGGCCGTTGTGTAAGAGCTGAAAGTAAAAGTTGCAACCGCCGCCTCGCGCCGATTTCTCGCCGACCACGAGCGAGTTAAAATCCGATCCACCGAATATCCCTTCCACCGCGCGCGCCGCCGCGGCCCACGGCGCGACCCGACGCGACCCGACCCGACCCGACCTCGGAATGGACGCGCCCTGGCGGCCGGCCGGCCCGCGGTCCCCCGCGCCCGGCCGGTGAGTCCACTCGGCCCGGAAGCGGTCGCGGCGGCCGCGAGTCAGCCTCTCCGTCGACGGGGCGCCCCGGGAAGCGGAAGCGCCGGGCCGGACCAGGCCGGACCCGGCCGGAAACGGAAGGGCCGGAGGAAGAAGGCGCGCCGAGCCGAGCCAGTCCTTTTCTCACCTTGCCGAGCGATAGTTGGAACGTAAGGTGCACCACGCGGTGGCGGTGGAATTAAAAGTCCGCTTAAAAAGGTTAGGGGGATAAAAAAGGTGCCGCGCGAAAGGATAAGAGAAAGGAATAGGAGCCTTCTCGAGTCCTTGAGAGTATCCACGAGTAAAAGTGTCGGAGCCAGCCGGCTGACCCTGGGACCGGCGGCCGGAGCGAGAGAAGAGAGAGAGAGGAAAAGAGCGCGCGACCGAGCGAGAGAGGGAGGAAGGAAGAGAGGAGGCGGAGAGGGAAGGAGAGAGAAAGAAAGAAAGGGAGAGGGGCCGGATCGGAGAGCCCTTTCCACCGCGAGTTTGAAGAATCAAGGACCATTTCTCGGCATCGCGCCCCTCGCTCGGACAGGACGCGCCGCCGTTCCGCCGCGCCCGCCGCGCCCGCCGCGCCCGCCGCGCCCGCCGCGCCCGCCGCGCTCGTCGCGTCCACCGGCTCGCGCCGCAGCCGCAGCCGCAGCCGCAGCCGCAGCCGCAGCCCCTCCTCGATGCCCCCCAGGCCAGGCCAACGTCGACACCCAGGGCGTTCCTTCGCGGAATCTTGGACCACGGCGATGCCGAGGCGCGGACACTCCTCGAGAGAGTCCTAACGGAGCCCTTTCGCCCGTCAGCGCCGCCCGCCGTCGCCGCCGTCGTCCGCTTCCCACGCCCGGCCGGACCGCGTCCAGGTCTCGCACGGTAAGGCCCGCGCGGCGGCCGCTCGCGACAAGTCGGTCGATGTGCCACGAGGCTCCGAGTGTCGCGGGACACCTAATGTCGCGTAACCGGTACGTCATCGAGTTTAACACAGATATGGACGGTTCCCTCGTGTGACCGGTGAGTTCCGTAAGTAGCATTCAACTACCGTACTCGGTGTGGAACGTTCGCAGCCTCCCGGCAACGAGTCCACGTCGAGACCTGCTTCCTTAGGGACGATATCGCATCGAATCTCGCTTTCGTCGCCGGTCCGAGCGAGCACCCGCGTCATCGGAAAGAAAGGGCGCGAGGGCGGTCGCGGGGCGTCCTCCTCGCGTCGGCAAGGCGACGAAGACGCCGAGATGCTCCTCGACTCGAGTTCCGAACGGGCCCTCCAACCAGTCGTTTCCACGTTGCCTTCCGTTTTGCCGCTTCTCTTCGTCGACGTTCCGCACTCCACCGACCGAATCCCTAACCGTACCTCGGACGCATCCCGACCTCGAAGGAACGAACTTTTTCCGGCGGTCCCGTCGATCCAAAAATCGATTCCCGTCGTGGCCGTTGGCCACGGTGGGCTCGTTAATTAACCCGAGGTCCGATTACCGTGCACGGCTCCTCGGGATCATCGGTAGGATCGGCGCGTTTCTCGGGTCGGCGAGAGGCGACGCACCGCGAGGCGAGGACTTTTCCTCGACCGAGTCGTCCCTTCGGGTCGATGCGGCCGACCTCGAGCGGGTTTCCCACGGTGGCGAGAGCGATCCGGCCGAGGACGGCGCGAAAGGGAAGGTGGCGGCGGCCGATGTGGGAAAAGAGGAAGTTAATCGGAGCCGGAAGCACGCTCCGGCGAATCCAAGGCCTCGAGGAACGTGCGCCACCGTCGACCCGGGTCTCGGCACTTAAATCGCGACTCCGATGCCTCGCGACCGGCGCGTCCCGCTTTCGTCTCCGCCCGCGACGACGTCGTCCGTTCCGCGCGCGCGCACGGGAAGAGAAGCCGTAAGCCGAGCCTCGACGCGGGCCCACGGATCGAACGTCGCGTCGCGCGAAAAATGAGACTTTTCAAAGTTTTCGGTGGTTACGTCTCCTTCCGTCGAGGACGCTCCTCCGAGGTCGTTTTGGAACGACGGCGCGTAAGAAAAAGGCTGCCGTTAACCCTGACCGCGAACGAGCCGATTTTTCCGGAATATACGCTTCCATCGCGACCAGGAGGGGAATCGAGGCAAGACGGATAAAGAGCGCGGCTCGAATGCAGAGAGATGGCGATGACATTCCGGCTCGACGGCTCGCCTGCGCACTCCACGCTTCCACGGTTTCGAAGCGAGAACCCTTTCTACCTTCCCTTTCACTTTCATCCGTCGTTACGTTCGTTGCGACCGTGCTTACCCGGCCGAGAGCCGCTGCCGTTCCGCAGGCGTCGCGACACCCTAACGCGCGGCCGCGGAACGGACGATGCTTCCCGAATCGAGCCTTCGGAATTCGACATTTCCCGATTAGACCGGGTCGCGTCGGTTCGTCGCTACGATCGAGGGTGCCGCCCGGCACCCCTTCGGTTCCACGTGCCAGAGGTTAAATACTAGGTGCGACCTCGAGGCGTTACGCATTCTTCGTACACCTTGCGAGCATCTCGACCGTTTCGTTTCAAGTAAACGGCCGACGCCGAGAGTTCTTCCCGTTCTTCCCAAAAAGAAACCGCGTACCCCGCTTTCGATGCGTCTCGGGAGGCTTTGACAGGAGGCCGAATCGAGCAGGGGAACGCGACATTTCGAAGGGATTAAATACATCCCGAAGGCGGCAGAGCGAGCTAAACTCCGGACACGAGTTCGGACAGATCGAACGTTGAGCCCGAACTTCGTGATCCACCGTCAATTTTCTCACGTGGACCGACCGATGCCCGATTTAAACCGCAATTTCCTTTAATGCAGCCCTCGGCCTCGTTCGGTAGAAGCGCGCCGTTCCTTTTTCTTTCCGTGCCCGTACCTCGACCCGATACCGATTGCGATCGCGGTTGGTGGCCCCGATCGGAGGTAAAATCGCGGAAGGGAAAGACCTTATTGGAAGCCACGCAGAACTCCCGAGCGGGGTGTCCATAAACGGGGGAGGTGATCCTTCGAATCGGGACGGGTTCGCGCCTCCCCCGGACATCGACCAGAATTCGAGAAGCGAGGTTCCAAGGTCAGACTCGCGTGAAAACGCAGCCTGCATCTTTCCACTCGGACGCAGCCATAACCTCAATTTCCCAAATAACCGCGCAAGGCCGCTCTCCTACCCGGCGGCCCGGCCCGGCCCGGCGCGGCCCGGCCCGGCCCGACCCGACTCGCCTCGCCGCGCCCCGGTTCGGCTCGGCTCGACTCGGCTCGTAGCGCGTACTCCGAGCGATCCCCACCCACGACGTGAGATCACGCCGATTACGTAAGGTGTCCAGTTCGCGGCATAGACGCGCGTATTATGTGTGCCGTGGCGCGCTCGACGCCGCTCCCCGACCCGCCCCCCGAGTTGCCAGCCGAGCGAGAAGGAAGGGAACGGGGCGGTCGGGGCGGTCGGGCCAACCACCCAGGAGGAAAGCCCGATTCGCCAAGGGAGACGCGTCGCGCCCTCGCCGATGCTCCGAGCGAGGAGTCCCCGATGGGGCGAGCCAGAGAGCGCGAGCGGGATGAGAGAAAGAGAGACGCGTTTCTACTACTCCGCGTTTATTTTGGGACCAAGGATCGTTCCATTCATTGCGTAAGAAAAATCGTTTCTCTAGCGGTGAAACGCGGGGAGAGTTGGCTCGGTACAGGGTCGACGCAAAACGCGATCCCGGGAGGTGCGTCGAAGTCCGGGTTTCCCCGACGAAGGAGGCCGTGATTCGTCGAGGGCGGACCGACGCGGTCGAAGCGAATACCGCGACGAAAATGACGTTCGAACTCGATCGCGGCGTTTCCTGCGCGGAGTGTACGCTAACCCACTTTTTCCCGATCGGTCATTTGAAAACAATCCCGAGCGACGCGTTCGCGGTGACTCGCAGTCTTTCCGTTCCTCCGGTCGAGGCCTTCGCCGCCGGAACTCGGTCGCCTCCTGCGCGAGCGAGCCGCGTCGCGGCCAAAAGTGGGGAAAGTGGGCAAGGAATCGCCCGGAGCCGCGCGGGAAACGCTCCGTCTCCGCGGGTCGACGATAAATCCTGCTCGGTTATTTCGGGCGCGAGACTGACCGTTACGTAAGGGGCGCGCGGAAGAAAGCCCCGGACGAACCGTCGAGACGGAAGCGCGCCAGTGGGCTGACTCCCTCCTCGTTTCGCTCGCTCCGGCTTTCCCGGCCGCGCGCGAGCCGACGGAATCCGGAGCGGAGCGAATCCGAAAAGTAGGAGTCGCGCGCCAGCCTCGCTTTCGTGCCGGTGGAGCGTCAATTCGAGGACGATCGTTCTTATATAATGAATGGATCGTGTAACTAGCCGCTCGCGCTCGCACTCGCGGGGACGCCTACGCGCGTCTCCGCGCGTCTCCGCGCGTCTCCGCGCGTTTCCGCGCGCGTCGCGCGACTCGCGCGACTCGCGCGACTCGCGAGCCCGAGCGGAGAGGCGAGACGCGCGCATTCGCCGCCGCGCACACGCCGCGCGCACCCGCGAGAGCGCCAGTTAGTCGACTCGCTCGGTAAGTGCAGCTGAAAAGGCTTTTTACTTCTGGCCTTGAACGAAATGTACCGGGTGGCAGCGAATCCGCGGCCGGCCAGTTGCCGTTGCGCTCGCGTTATTTCCATCCGGTCGCCGTCCGCTCCGGCCGAGGGGAGGAAGCGAGTCGCGAGTGCCCCCCTGCTCCCGTCGGATCCCTCGGGAGTGAACCAGGAACGGAGAGCCATCGAGGGGCGATTGCACTTTTCCTCTCTCGAACGCGACGCCTCGCGGAAGATTATCGTGCCGCCCGGAATCGTCCCGGCACCCTCGATCTCTCGTCGCTCCTGGCTCCGACGTGCAGCAAGGACGCGCGCGTTTCGCCCGCGCCTCGCCGACTGCCCGCCGAGGGCGGCACCTGCGCCCCCACCCGGCCGCGTTCGCGCCGCGCGCCTCCCAAGGCCCAAATGGAAGAAAGAAAACGCAGACGTAATCCCGCGGCAGCGATTGACCCTGAACTTCGGTGCCAGCAACAATTTCCTTATTCAGCAATTTTCTTGGTAGCGATATTACGCACGCCACGCGACGCGCCTCTTACCCAAGGACGCGCCTTTTCCGACCGCGGCCGACGCGGACGAGGACAGGATTCGGCAACCGATCGCTTGCACCTTGTAGGCGGTAACAACGTTCGGGATCGACCGGATCGTTGGCGGCATCTTCTTTTGCAAGAAACTACGGATCGAGGATTAAAGAAAAATGAGTTACCAAAAGACCGACATCTCCCGCGAAGCACCTATTCGACCGTTCAGAGATTTTGGGAGAGAATCCTCCGCGAAGAAGAACCTCGGTAAAGGAGAGCAGGGAGAGTTCCAGACTCGAGATCCGAGCGGCGTCTCGAAATGGTCAGGGCGCTCGGCCCGGCTCGGCTCGGCGCGACCGCTTGCCGTCTGCTGCCCGCTGTAACCTCACGCCCGCCGGTACGTAAGAGAGTGACGCGTTCGACGAGTATAGTCGAGAGCAGAAATCGCTCTCACTCCCAAGGTCCCCGTGTACCGCGCGACGCGTCTCGCGGGTCCGACAGCGGCGGCGGCGGCGGCGGCGACGACGACGACGGCGACGGCGACGGCGACGGCGACGGCAACGGCGAGGGCGACAGCGGCAACGGAGGCAACGGCAGCAACGGCGCCAACGGGACCTCGTCGCTACGCGAAACGCGCGCTCGTTCCGTCACCGCGGAGAACCATATCGCGCGGTGGCCCCTTCGATTTAGACGCGGGAACGATCACGTCCAACGCCGCGTAACGAAAGGGTGGCTCCGCTCGCTCGAACTTCGGAGCCTCGAGAAAAACGAAGCGGTCGGGTCGACCGCGCGGTAGAGAAAGGACCGGCAAGGAGTCGACTTACCTTTCTTCCTTGTTGCAGACGATGTATACGGACGGCCTCCTGACCCTGCACTACGGCAAACACCCCGCGACCCTGGCGGCGGAAGTCGGGGCCTGGTACAGCGGGGACCGCCACGTGGACGTGACCCTGGCTTGCGACGACGGGTCCGTCGTGCGGGCTCATCGCGTGGTTCTGGCCGCGGCCAGCCCGCTCCTGGCCACCCTCCTCCGCAACCCGGCCCTGGACCACGTGGTCCACCTCTCCGGGGTGAGGAGGACCCAGCTGAGTCACCTGCTGGAGTTCCTTTACAACGGGGAGGCCCTGATCCCGGTGAGGAACGCGGCGCCGCGCCCGCCTGGCGACCGACCGACTAACGCGCGACCTCTGCTTGCAGTCGACGGAGCTGACGCCGCTGAGGGAGCTCTTCGAGCTCCTACAGATCAAGTCGGAGCTCTTCGAGCCGAACCGGGCCCAGACCTCGACGAGTGGCTCCGACCCCGAGAGGGTGCCCACCCCGCAGCCCTCGGAGAGCCAAGAGAGCTCCAGCTACGAGTCCCAGTACGACGGCAGGTTGGTATCCCCGGCCCCGCGACCCCGAGGGTCGGCGCGTCCTCAAGCGACCCGTTTCCACCTTCCAGGCGATCCGACAACCCCGCCGACTGCTGCTCCGTGCTCATCAAGACCGAGGGCTGCGAGGAGGAGCCGGAGGTGGACGTCGAGGGCGTGGAGGGCGACGCGCCGCTCGCCGACGACGGCGTCGAGCCGCCCAGACGAAGGGATAGCTCCGACCCCGTCAACCTGAGCCTCAACTCGGCCAAGGGCGGCGACGCCGCGCACAGGTAGGCCGCTCGCCCGTCCGATAACCGCCAGGCGATCGCTAACGCCCGCGTGTCCGCAGGTCGGACCAGCAGCCCCCGCAGCCGCCGCCACCACCGCCGCCGCCGCCGCCCCCGCCGCTCGAGGAGGCCGAGGAGCGCCGCAGGCAGCTGGCCGCGCGGCTAGCCCTCGGCCTGGAGCCTGGGAAGCGGAAGCTCGAGGAGATCCCGATCCCGCCGGCGGAGGCCTACGTGGTCACGCCGCACAGGAAGCGCCGGCCCGGCTTCCACAACGCGCCCGCCCAGAACCCGGCCTTCGTGCCCTTCAACCCCGGCTTCGAGACGCCCCGCCGGCTGCAGGCGCCACACCCGCTCAGCCTCTCGGCGCCCCCCTACCTGGTGAGCCCGCGCGACGCGACACCGGCCGCTCGGTCACGAGCCGACGACCGCCCCGCGACTCTAACGGACTCGTCCGATGCCCAGCAGGACAGAGCCGCGACGCCGCCGGCCGGCGGGCCGCACCGCCCGCCCTCGGCGGAATCGGCGGCGGCGGCGGCAGCAGCGGCGGCGACGGGCGCCGGCACCGGCTCGGCGGCCGCGCTGGAGCCCCCGTGGGGCACCTGGACGTTGCCTCCCGCGCGGCCGCCGCCCCCGCACCCCGCGCCGCCCGACGATCCGCCCAAGCCGGCCCCGGTGCGGGAGTACCGCTGCAGCTACTGCGGCAAGCAGTTCGGCATGTCGTGGAACCTCAAAACTCACCTGCGCGTCCACACCGGCGAGAAGCCCTTCGCCTGTCGCCTCTGCGTCGCCATGTTCAAGCAGAAGGCCCACCTGCTCAAGCACCTCTGCTCGGTCCACCGGGGCGTCATCGCCGCGCCCGACAACACCTTCGCCTGCTGCTTCTGCTCCCTCAGCTTCGACAGTCTGCAGGAGCTGATCAGGCACCTGTCGGGTCCGCACAATAACCTCCTGCTCAGCAAGAACCTCCACGACTAGCCGACTTCCGTCCCCTCGCCCCTCGGCGGGTGCGAGCCGGTCGCGGACCGGAGGGCCGCCGCTCTCCCCCTTCTCGCTGTACATAATGGCACATACCTTCTATTTATTTAACGTTTTGCAAAGGGACCAACCGACTTTCCACCGATTTTTGTCTTAAATAGATGTTAGCCTCCTGCCCGAAATCGTCCTTTTGAGGAACGCGCCACTGGTTGGAACCGAATGCCCCCGAGGAGAGACGGCTTTCGGCTTCGTAACCAGGAAGCGTCGACGGTATTTCGGCGATTCGGCAACCGGTCGTTCCTGGTTGAAAGAGAGATTCGCGTCGGCTTGCGCCACCCGTGCCGACTTCGTTAACGACCGTAGTCGCGTCGCGAGTACGAGTTGAGTGCCTTGATAGAGGGTCCAAAACGGTCGATTGGGCAGTGATTTCATGTGTTCATAGACTTAAGAGTACCAGATCTAAGCTTTAGACGAGAAGTTTATCGCGTAGCGGGATGATACCTTGATCCTCGTAGTCCTCGTAAGTAGCGTATCAATTTATAGAAATATGCGAATAATGGTTTGGCGCGGGACGTCAGATTTAGATAGAGCTCGAACGCCCCGAGACAAGTTTTCGGTCTCTCGTCGTCTCTCCTGGACGCTCCTCGTCCCGGTTCCCCGGCACCCTCCTCGACGCGGCCAAAGAGGCGGCGGCGGGCGGCGGGCGGCGGGCGGCGGGCGGCGACGCTTCTTCTGCTGCCGCCGCCGACGACGCCGCCGCCGCCTCGAAGACGAGACGGGGAACCGAAAACGCAGCGAGGCCGGGCGCCCCGAAGAGATCGACGACGAGGAGAGCGCGACTACTACGGCCCCTCCTCGTGGCCCCAGGAGAGCGAAACCCGAGCGAGAGCCGCTTTCCGCCGCCTTTGCGGACGAAAGCCGCAGCGGAAGCCGCGACCGATATTCGTTCGGGACGATCGACCGCGAGATGGAAAAAGTCGGACGTTTCGTCTCCCGTTCGATCCGGCCGACGGCGCGGAAATCGGGAAGTCGCTCGCGTCGACGTCAAAGGAACGAACGACGCGATAACGAACCTTACGCGATAACGATTACTCCGAAAGAGAGCAGTACACCAAAGATACGTTCTAAGGGCCGCGAGACGTCGAGAACGCGCACGAAGATCGAACGAGTTATTTAGTCGAGTTCGTGCGAGACACCGAGACCTGATATGTTTCTAACCCGAGGTTTAGCCCTACGACAGATCGCTGTGCGAGCGGACGCGTCGATCTCGAACGAGGCCGCGGCGAATCTCCGCTCGGCGGCCGCGCCTCCCGAGCCGGGCCGAGCGCGGCCCAAGGGCGGGAGCGTCGGACCCGACGGCGAACGCAATGTGATACTAAATGATAAATAAACTAATTATTGTTTAGCGCGCGATGCCATGACGCGAGTGGAACGCGTCGCGATCCGTGGGAAGTCGAGTCCGGCTCCGGCCACGGGTCGCGCTCTCGCGCTCTCGCGCTCTCGCGCTTCGGTTCTTCCCTCCTCGAGAACGTCGCTCCCCGTAAGGAAATCCGGGCCAAGAGGTTAAGTTTTAAGCTACTTCCGAGCAGAGCGCGACTCTGCGTGCTTTCTTAGTGTTCATAGGTTTACGAGAAATAAATTAATTGACGGACAATCGGGGCGCCTCGATCCCTCGACCGAGCTTCCTTCCCGACGGGGCCCTGCACGAGGTCGCGACTCTAACGGATCCGAGTCTCGTTCCGATCGAGAGGAAAAAATGAGAAAGCCGTTACGCGCGCGGCCCGAAATCGGCCGACCGGTCTGCGTTTCGTCCCGAGCCTTGCCGGTTTACCGTTCGGGCGATCGGCCCCGTTACCGGGCCGCGGAGGAGACTCGCGAATCCATCCTCGAAATCGGCCTCGAGGCGCGCTCCCGTTAACGGACTCGAAATTCCAAACTCGCGGCGGTCGAGAGGGCGTGCCAGGGGACCTGGGACCCGAGTCCCCGTGCCACGAGACGTAGACGAGTCCAGGTACCGTTCCGTTCTCGCGCCTCTTGGAGGCGGTCTTTGGAGGCGGGCGGGAGAGGGACCGCGAGAAGGGGCCGCCGGCGTATATAAAAGGCCCCGAGCGTCGTCGGGCCCAAGGTCCCCGCCGCCGAACGGAGTCGCCATGCTGACCAAGATCGTCCTCGTCCTGTCGGCCCTGGCCCTGGCCAGGGCGCAGATCCCCAGCCTGGGATGGTGCCCCGAGTACGTGCCGATGGCCGACTTCGACATGAATCGGGTGAGTCCCGCCCCGCGTCCGTCGCGGCTCCGTTCCAACAGGACCACGAGAACGGATCGTCCTTGGTTTCAGTTCCTGGGAGTCTGGTACGAGGCCGAGAGGTACTTCCAGCTGTCGGAGGTGGTGTCGCGGTGCGTCATGGCCAACTACACGACGACGGCCGACGGCAAGTTCCGCGTGAGCAACGAGGTCATCAACAGATTGTAAGTGGTCGATTCAACCGGCGAATGGGTCCAAGTCTCAAGACCGGCTCCGTTGCAGCACCGGCGTCAAGAGAATCCTCGAGGGCGAGATCAAGCCGTCGCCCTCGAAGGCGGAGGAGGGCAATCTCCGTGTCAAGTACACGACGATCCCGCTGACCCCGGAGACCCAGTACTCGGTGCTCGAGACGGACTACGACAACTACGCGGTGCTCTGGAGCTGCTCCGGCATCGGGCCGGTCCACACGCAGAACGCCTGGCTCATGACGCGGCAGCGGCTGCCCTCCGGGGAGGTCCTGCAGAAGGTACGTCGCGATTCGAGCCCGAGTGGCTTCCGTTTGCCCCCCTACCTACCGACCTTCCGCTTCCGCGCAGGCCTACGGGGTCCTGGACAAGTACAAGATCTCCAAGACGTTCTTCGTCAAGACGGACCAGGAAGACTGCGCCTACTTGGCCTCGCTGCCGGAGTCGTCGAGCAAGTCGCCCGCCCCCGCACCCTCGCAGCCCGAGACCGCGGCCCAGGAGGAACGCCGGCGCCCCGGCCCCGGCCCCGGCGCCGCAGACGGAGGCCTGAACTCGCCCGAACCGGCCTAACCTAACCCGGCCGACCGCGGGCGATTATTTATATATTTATTTCTCGGCTCGAGGCGAGCGGCCCCGGAGCGCGATCGGGGAGGCAACGAATGTACAAAAAAGAAAACGCGTTAAAATAAATCATTAAGCGAAACCACCCGGCATCGCGCCTTTTCCGTTGCACGTTCCCTCCGTGTCTCGCGACGTTTCGCGGCCGGCCGCCAAGAAAAATGGCCGAGGAGCGGTCCAAGTCCGCGGGGCCGGACTTTTCGTTCGACCGCGGACGAGTTTCTTGACCCGGCGCGGCCGTCCCGTTAGTGACCCACTCGTCGAGGCGAGCGTTCCTCCGGCTCGACTTGCTCGAGTCGCCTCGACGACCGGCCAGTCGTCCGCGGACGCTTTCCAAGAGAATATCCTCGAGTGCGGCCCGGGTCGCTTTCACGGCCGACGATGCTCCGGGTGTCCCTGGTGCTTCTCCTGGTTGGACGAGCCATGGCGCAGGTTCCGTTTCTAGGGGCCTGCCCGAACGTCCAGACGATGCCAAGCTTCGAGCTGGAGAGGGTGAGCTCTTCCTCGATTTCTTTCCCGATCGCCTTGACGGTCCTCCCGAGGTTCGGCGCGCTTCGGCGCGCCTCCTCCACGGGCATCGACGAGTCGCGCGACCGGAACTACCGGCGATCTCGTCGGGGCGCGCCCAGAGCGTCGGCCCCGCTGACTTTGGACCTTGTTTCAGTACTTGGGCAAGTGGTACGAGGCCGAGAGATACTTTGCCCTCTTCGAGTTCGGAGGAAAATGCGTGACCGCGAATTACAGCCAAAGCGAGAACGGATCGGTCAAGATCGTCAACGGGCAGATCTCTTCCCTGTGAGTCTCCTTCCGCGACTACTCGGGGCAAATCGCAAGTTCCGCGAGGGATCGTTTGTCTTTCAGGACCGGAATAGCCTCGACCATCGAGGGCATCGGCAGGCCAATCGGCAGGTCGGACGACCCGAAGCTGAGCGTAACCTTCCCTTCCCTCCCGCTGCAGTTCGACGCGCCCTACTGGATTCTCGACACGGACTACGAGCGGTTCGCCGTCGTGTGGAGCTGCACCAACTTCGGAGTCTTTAGGTAAGGATGGCAAGCGTTCGACTCCCTCGATCCGAACGAACGGTCTTTTGCAGCGTGCGGAACGCCTGGATCTTGACGAGGGACCCGAAGCCGCCGATCCCCGTTCTCGAGAAGGCCTACCAAACGATCGACAGGAACAACGTCAGCCGGGCGTACCTGATTCGCACCGACCAGAAGAACTGTCCGGCCGCCGGTTGAGCCCCTCCCGAACTTCCTTCCGACTCGGTCGCATTTCTCCCGTGACCCTCCAATTACCGCGCATTTATTCCTTATTTATTTATTTATTTATTTACTTATTTACTTATTTATTTATGTATTCATTCACCGACCGATTCGTTATTTATTGACTTAATAAAAATCGTAGGCACGCGAGTTTCGAGTCGAGCGGCAAATAAAGTGGCCTAGCGAAAAAACCCATTCCCTTTCCTCGCCCGATGACGACGGAGGACGTCCCTCCGTCGCGAGGCTCCCGGCGCCAATAAATCGCGCGGCCGATCCGCGTCGGAATCTCGATCGCAGCCCTCCGAAGAGGAGGATCCTAATAACAGGGTCCGCCAAACTTGAGCAAACATCCCCGCCCACGGCGCGTCCCGCTCGGCGTCGGCCCGGTGCCCTTCCGACATCGACCCGAGAGCGCCACCCTCGGCCGATATTTCTTTTCCCGGCTCTCGGAAAAGTCGCGTTCCGCGCTAACTCGACGCCTTGTCCCCTTTCGGCCGGCTCCCTTTCTTTCCCTTTCTCGCGGCGCTCCTAGAAACCGCGGGAAACGTACCTCGAGTCCGGCCGCTCCCCTTCCGAGACCTTCCCCGACCGTGGGGGGATGAGATCTGCCCGCGGGGGACGACGAGTCGATGCATTCCGGTTTGCGGGCGCGGCCGGTACCTGCGGCTCGCGATTACGTTAACGGCCCCGTCCCTGAACCTCGATAAGGCGACGCGCGACCAGAGATGAGCAGAGATGAGCAGAAAACACTCTAAAAACGCTCGAAAATGTACCTACTAGTAGTAGATAAGTAGATAAAGTTAAATGGAGCGTCACGAGTGTTCTTCCCTTACCATCAAATGCGAGCAGTGTTGGTACGCGTAGGTAAGCCACCACCGTCAACTGCCGCATGGTATTACCGTCACGGGTACGTGAGCCGCCAACGATGACTGGTAGATGGCACCGCCATCGCGAGTGCGCGATCCCCTACCAGAAATTCGTTGTGCCTCCCTTGGGAGCAAAAAACGGTGAAAGGTAACATACGAAACCAGAGGGCAGCACAGGATGCGATCGCGCCACCCTGCCCGTGAGCAATCTCCCAACTCATTTCTGCACCCGACCCACGCGACCGCCTCCTGTCTTTCCTTCTTTTTCCGCCGCGGTTTTCCTTCCCGGCGATCGGTTCTTTTGAGGGCGACGCGACCCATCCGCGCGCTAAACGAGCGGAAACCTAATTGGAACCCGCCGCGGTCGCGGAACCGTCCGTTGCGTCGACGAAAAGAGTCGGCCGCAACCTCTTCTCCGCATGGGTCCGGAAAGACCTTTGCACGAGTTTCGGGGATTTTCTGTCGACCGCGAACGGGGGCGACCAGAGCTCGTCCCGCAGATTCCAAAACGGTTGGGAAACGCGGATCTCGAGTGGAGAGCCCACGGGGGAGCGGGCAAGCCGAGGGGACGCGGCATCCGCTCTCGGCCGGCTTCGGCCGGCTTCGGCCGGCCTCGGCCGATTCCGGCAGCGGCAGCGGCGGCGACGGCGGTGAGAACGGCGGGCGCAGTGACGGTGCCGCGCGCCGAGCCTGCTCAACCGATGGCGGTCGTCGGCTCGACACAACTGGCCGCAGCGTTCGCGCGACGGGACTTCCGCTTCGACGAAATCTCGGCGTGACGAAGAGCGGGACGTAAGTTTCTCGGGGAGGCGGTCGTTCCAAGGTGCGGATCGGGGAAGGCCTCGATCGAGAGGACGAGCCGAGCGGCCGGGCGTCGACACGTGGAGAAGATGGCCTGGTGGAGGGTCGTTCTGCTGCTCGCGCTGGCCGCGCGGCCCGCCGTTTCCTACTTCAACCTCTTCCTCAGCCAGCCCGAGGTTCGGAAACTCATGGGTGAGTCCGCTTCGTCGTCGTTCGTCCTCGGACTCAGTCGCGAAACCGAATCGGGTTCCGCGCGGTTGGAGGCCGACGCCTCGAGACGCGGGGTCTCCTTCGGGGAGCGCCGACGGAAACCCCCGGACGTTTGGTCCGGGAACGTCGTTCGCGTCCAATTCTCGACCCTCCTAGTAATCCCCGCGAGGTCGGAACCTTCGGGAATCGGGAAGATTCCTCGGGAAACCGGTCGAGAAGAGCGGGGAGGTGTCGACCTTCCTCGTTATTCGGCGTCTAAACAAACTGGGGCCAGCGGCCGGCCGGCCGGCCGGCCGCCCGGGCGGACGGGCCTCCCCGGTTTAACGAGGGCCTCGTTGGAATGGTTTATTGCGCCTCCTCCCCTCCCACCGGCCGAGCGGAGGCGCGAAAGACGCTCCGCTCGGGCGAGCCGAGCGCGCTCCCCAACCGGCACCTACATCGACGAGCGCCCGTTCCCGAGCCCTTCCCGAGCTCTTCCCGAGACGAGAGCCAGAGCATCTCTTGGAGGAACGATTCGAGCGGGGTCTAACGTCCCGATCGTCGGAACGATCGCATGGACGAGAACGCAGGAGATTTCCGGGAGAGAGAAAAGCGTGGGCGGAGAAAAAGTAAAGGAAAGAGGCGGACGCCCAATTTGAGGCCATCCGACCCGCGTCTACCTAGTTTGGGACCGGGAGGCCGAAAGGCACCCTTTTCCCTTCGAGACGCGCGGTTCCCGACAAATGGCCGCCCAAGTGGCGCGAGTCGAGTGTTTGCGAGAGGCCCCTGCCTCGCCCCGGCGGACTTGGAATAATTGAGGCGCCACCACCTGGAAGAGGTTGACGTTTCTCGGGGCAAACCGTAAAACCAGTACGGGCAATTTTTCTTTCCGGAAAACCTCGAGGAAGGACAAATTCAACGAGGCGAGTTCCCGCTCGAGTTCGCCCAAGGACAAAGGAGCGCGACAAAGGCGGAATTTTATCGAGCGGCCAAATGGGCGACCCGATTCGGTCCCCGATTCGGTCCCCGAGGGCCAGGGGAGAGGCGCCGGGTAACGAGATCTCTTCCCTTCCCTCCGGGCGGGGTTTCGTCTTTCCCGCGATCCCGGCCGGCGGGAAGCGCGAATTCAATGTCCCCGCTTCCTTCTGGTCGCTTTGCGGGTCTCGGTCGCGTCCCGAGGTGTCAGGTTTCGTTCCTCGGCCGACTCGATTATTATTTTGACAGCGGGGGACGCCGTCCCCCGCGCGACGCACCCCTGGACGCTCTCCCGGGATCGATCCGCCGGCCAAGGGACGCTCCTCGTCGGCCCGTCGAGTAACGCCGGTCCTCCGCCTCTCGTTCCAGGGTTGCCGGCGGAGCTGTTCTACGTGCGCGAGGGGGTGATCAACGAGTACGCCTTCAAGTTCGTCGTCCCCGTGCCGGCCCAGGTGCACAAGCTGCACTTCACCTGGGAGAACCTCGCCGGGCGCCCGGTAAGTCCGCGGTCGGGCCTCCGTCCCGGATTCCGCGACGGAGAGTCGTCTCAAGCTCGTGGTTTCCCTCGCAGCTGCCTTACACGGTGTCGGTGGACATCGGCGACCCGTCGGCGCTCAGCGGCTCGCTCAACATCTCGCGGACGGGCGACATCCCCGTGGGCGGCTCACAGACCTGGGCCCTGGCCCTCCACTGCGGGCCCTACGACGCCGAGGTCAACCTGGCGCTGCGCGTCAACGTCTCCCTTTCGAGACGCAACACCACCAGCCTCGACTTCCGCCGGAAGAAGATCTGCCTGAAGGAGAAGAGCGGCTACCCGGGGCCCGAGGAGGTCCTGGTCGCGACCTCGGGCTCCGGCGCCGGGGGCCGCGTCTTCTACGCGGCCGTCGGCTGCGCCTGCGCCTTCGTCGCGGCCGTCTGCGTCCTGGTGGCCGCCTACTACGTTCGCGATGGCAAGTCCCGGCGACACCGAGACCCCCTGCAGTGAGTGTCGCGGCCCGCCAGCGCCTCGCCTTTCCTCCGACCCGCCGCTTCTGTCCCCAGGGAGTCCAGGGGTCTGAGCTCGGCCGGCAGCGTGGAGCGCGGCCCGGGGGCCACGGCGGGTCCCGGACCCGGCCAGACCTTCCTGTCCCCGAAGACGCCGCCGCCCGCCTCCGCCGGCGGCTCCACGTCCAGCTACCGAAGGCTCGACGACCGGCCGGCCCGGGAGCTGCACGAGCGCATCCAGGAGATCACCGTTCAGCGGTAAGTCCGAACCCCGGGGAGTCCGGGCCCCGCCGTCTGCCTCGCGCTCCCACTCGGTCGCTTTCAGGTGCAGGGTGCGACTGCTGAGCGTCGAGATGGAGGGCACCTTCGGCAGGGTCTACCGGGGCAGCTACCACGAGGAGGGGACCGCCGTTCCGCGGGATGTGCTCGTCAAGACGGCGGCCGAGCACGCGTCGCAGGCGCAGGTGGGTTTCGCGACGGAATCGCGCGAGGATCCGCCCCGACTGTTCCTTCCGCTCTCCCGCAGGTCGCCCTTCTTCTGAGGGAGGGACTGATGCTCTACGGCTTGAGCCACCAGGCCCTTCTCCCCGTCCTGGGAGTGTCCATCGAGGAGAGGGGGGCACCGTTCCTACTTTACCCTCACACGGGATACAGAAATATGAAGAGGTTCCTCTTGAGATGCAAGCTCAACAGCGAAGGCCCGCCGAGGGCCCTGACCACTCAGGAAGTGGTGGAGATGGCTCTGCAAGCCGCGAAGGGGGTCCAATACCTTCACAGGAAGAGACTGGTTCACCGGGATTTGGCCGCCCGAAATTGCGTGTAAGTACTTCGATCGTGCCTCCCTCCCCGAAGGACGATTGACGAGCGACCCCTTCCTTTAGGGTGGACGACGAGCTCCGGGTTCAAGTCACGGACAACGCCCTGGCCAGGGACTTGTTCCCCCAGGATTATCACTGCCTGGGTGACAACGAGAACCGCCCGATCAAGTGGCTGGCCATCGAGAGCCTGTTGAACAAGAGTTTTACCACGGCGTCCGACGTGGTGAGTGTTCGTCGAAAGCAGTCTCCCTGGCCGGAGCGATTCTGGATTTCTAATGCCTGGATTCCTTCCTCAGTGGGCCTTTGGGGTCTTGTTGTGGGAGCTGACGACGTTGGCCCAGCAGCCTTACGTCGAGGTAGACCCCTTCGAGATGGCGTCCTACCTCAGAGACGGGTACCGGTTGGCGCAGCCCATCAATTGCCCGGACGAGCTTTTCGCCGTCATGGCCTACTGCTGGGCCATGTCTCCGGACGAGAGACCCACCTTCGGCCAGCTGATAGTCTGCTTGCAGGAATTTCACACGCAGCTTACCAGATACGTTTAATAGGAGAAACTCGAGCGAGCGACCCGTCCCGGTCACCGCGGAAGGGCACGGGCGCCGGCGGAGATACGCGACGCCTTTGCGCTATCTTATCTCGCGCAAACGATACGCAAACCATACGCTCTGCCAGTTCTCGGGCCGCTTCGGGTTTGTCGAGTACCAGGACGTTTCTTCTCCTCGTTCAATCAAACGCAATCTGAAGATCTCTCTAGCTTCGCCGAATGCCTCGATGTTGCTCGTGCAAGTCGTTACGGACGATCGTTGTACATATGTAATCGCTTAAGACCGGTTGACCGGTAAAACGTAACGTGTTCCAAACCCCGATCGAACGAACGCCCTGCCAACATTGAAACGCAAAACCGACCTCGTGCGTCCCGATTCTCCGGACGTATAATTGTCTTTTAAACTTGAAACGTTGTGATATCTATCCTTAGGTGCGTCGCTTGTCTCATAAGTTTTCGATGTGCCAATTTTTCTACTTTTGTACATAACACGGATACGAGTAACTACGATACCGACTTACCCTCGCGTAACTTTGTGTACATAGGAAATAAATGTATATTGTATCGAGAGCCGGAACGTGGGGTCAAATTTTGCATCTCCCGTTCTCATTCGTAGTATTAAAAGTGCCATTTCTTGCCGATTAACTACGATGCGATCGAAAGGATTCCGTAAACGTCCTAGGTCCCGTGAAATCATAATGCGCTGACCGCAATCGCTAACCTGCTATTTTTGGTGACCTTTGGAGAACCTCGCCAAGGGGAAAGAGCCAAATCGTGGAGTGTAGAAGATCTCGCGTTCTACGAAATGATTCGTCAAACGATGAAAAGTGCGCTACTCGTGTCCTATAATTCCTTTGGCTGCGAGAGCTGTCCCAGGGAATTAATGGCACCGCGCTCGCGTCTTGTTCGAGATGACAAACGAGTAGCGCGACTCCTTCGAATCGCCCAACGAACCCGATTCGTTATACCCGAAGAATTTAGCTCACGGGACGTGCCCAGCGATGCTCTTTGCGTGCCCCGTTTCGCGCTCCGCCGAGCACGCGGCGGACGCGGAAGAAAGAGCCTGAACTCTGGGCGAATCGAATTTGGAAAATAAATCAGATGCTCCTTTGGAAAAAGATTCGTTTACGGCACAACGAGTTATAAGAACATGGGCAAATAGTTAGGCGGAGCGTCGCCCCGATCCGCTCGCAAAAAAGTGAAGAAAACGCGAGCGCAAGCGAACGATATATGCGCGCGACGTATAGCGGTTAGAGTATCGAGATAAGTTAACTCCGGAGGAAGCGCAGGCGTCGTCCCGAGAGCGTCCCAAAGGCGTCCCGAGGGCCCCTCAAGGATCGTGCACGGTGTGGTAGGAAATCCGGCCGTTGTCGTTGACCCCGGTCGTCGCGGACTTGAACGACGTCTCCTTCCCGTCGGGTCCGACCGAGTGGCTCGAGCTCGAGCTGGTGAAGACCCCGAAACTGTTGCCCGAGGGTGCCGGGACGTCCTCCCCGAATCGGGAGAAAATTCCCGGTTGGACCTGCGCGACAGTCGGGAGCGTTATACCCGTTCGCCCGTCCCGGGTCCCTCTAACGGGGCCGCTACTTACGGGACCGATCGAGGCCTCCTGGAATCCTCCTCGCGGACCGAGGGTGGCGCTCGCCGAGGCGGAATGCGGCCCCGAGGACCCGCCGCCTCCCTGGGAGTTCATCCCCGCTCCGGGGTACTGTCGAGGGTACGGGTAGCCTTGGCCGAGGCGGTTGCTCAGCTCCAAGAACCTGCAAACGAATCGGCCCTCGTTCGGGAGCTTCTTATCGGGACGGGCGCCTTCTCCGAACGACTGGCCGAGAACCAGCCGTGTGGAAAATGGGACCACTTTGCGCACCGATACGCGCCAGCCATTTTTCGACATTCCGGGCAAGAACCTTTACGGCGCGTTTCGTTAACTGCTCGCGACGAAGATTTTACGAGAGAGAAACGACGGCTTACGCTTGCTGCTGAGCCTGAAGCTGGGCCTGAAGAGCTTGGATGTTCGCCAGATACTGCTGCAGGTAACTTTGGAGTTCCAGGTCGAATCCCGCGGGATTGGACTGCGGGAAGTAAGAGTAAGGCCCTCCAAATCCGGGATACCCTTGAAATCCTCCACGGGACCCGAAGGATGGCCCCGCTTGCGGGAAACCTGGTCAAAGTACAGCCAGATAAGGCGCGTGGCCCGTCGTTCGCGAAACGGGCGTCGCGATAGCCGAGCGAGTGCCGAGCGAGTGCCGAGCGACTGCCGACCGACTGCCGACCGACTGGAACCAGCGCCAGACGTACCTGCGGAACTCTGGACTCCGCCGAAGCCTCCGGCCGACGTCGACGCCGACGCCGACGCCCCCCCGGCGCCGGCGAAGCTCTCGTCCCCGGCTGGCTGGGAGCTGGCTGGCTTCGTCTCCTTCGGCTTCTCGGTGGCCGCGACTTCTCGCTTCGCGGCGGCTTGAACCAAGAAAACCGGTCACTCGGCCGCTCTTTGTTTCCGGCAGCGAGTTTAAGGAAACTCCGGTCGAGGGCATTGCCAAGGTCGGGGCCGACGACGCGGTTCGACTCGATAAAGAGGTGGGAGGTGGGAGGTGATTAAGAATGTCGGGTCAAGGTGAACGCGCAACGAGGTCGCGAATGCGTTGACGTAACGCCGTCCCCGGCCCTGAAAGAAAGCGCTTTCCGACGGGAGACGAGTCGGCAGGTTACGCAACGCCTCGCAAAAGCGTGTCGACGCGTCTCGCTCCGAGTACGAGACGAGGGAGGGGCACTTACTTCTCGGCGATCCGGCCGAAGCGAGTTCGGGGGCGGCCAGCGTTCCCACGATCCCCGCGAGGAGGACAAGGGCTCGAGCGCGAGCAAGGGCCATTTTCCGAGATGCCCTCGGTGGCGAAGGGCGAAGGCGATCGAAAAGAGGAAAAGAAATCCTGGATCGCGACGCTCGTTTTCCGACCGTAAGAGCGCGGAAGTTGGCGAGAGAATGACTAATTCGCGCCTCGCAACGTTCATCTTATATAGCACTCGGTATTCGGCGTCCGATCTCGGAGGCTTCGCGCCGCTCTTTTGCCGCCCTCGCCGTCGACTCTTTCCTCGCGGCCGACCGAGGGCGGCTTGCGCCCCTCCGCCCTTGCTCGATCGCTATTAACTATTAACTTTCGACGAACGGCGTTCCTGCGGTTTTCCCCGATCGATCGATGATTTATCGACGACGGGATTGATTTCCTGCCGTCCGTTCGCGTCTCGGGGAGCGCAGGGAAATCTTGGAAAAACATCCCGGTAATCGAACGCTACGTTTTCGTTGACAAACTTTCACCTTCCGAAAGGAAGTACCGTTTAAAATACGAGAAACGCCCGTCCATTCGGCGGATCTCCCGTCAAAAGTTGGCGGCTCGCGCTAACGATCGATGGATCGCTCGATGACGAATCGACAATGATTACGGGGTACGCGCCGATTCGTATCCTGTTACTCCCGATCGCATCGATTTGCATAGGAAAATGTTTTCCCTTGGAGGAACGGGAAGGAACCCGGGAAAACGATTACTCGCGCCTCGCGCGAATCGAGCCGCCTGATTATCGACGAGCTTCGAGGAATTTCCCGGCTCTCGAGCTCTCGGCCTTCGGCTCGGAGGAGACGCGGAGGAGACGCGGAGGAGACGCGGAAAAGACGCGGATGGACCGACGCCACTGGGAATATCCCTGTCGAAGCAGGCCTCGTCTTCCGATGCGCGAGTACCCGGAACTCGAATCTCGAGGGACCCGGGCAGATAAGGCGGAAACGTCCGCCGCTGAGTCAACGCCCGAGAGAAATTGCAACGATCCCTTTCCGTTCTCTCCGCCCTCTGACGAGGAAGACGTTCCGATATCGACTTTTAGGCCGAGCGCGAGAACGAGCGAATAACCGCGCCCTTCGGGAGCCGTGGTAAAAACCGCGCGGCAGCCTCGCGGCGCGTCCGTTGGCCCCCGTGACGAGCGTAAATACGCACCCGATGACGACTCGGCGCGAGCAACCTTGGCCCGGTCTCTTCTTCCCTTCCTCCCCTCGCTCCTCCAGCCGGACGACGTCGGCCGACGTCGGCCGACGTTGGACGACGTCCAGAGATCGAATCTCGCCTGTACGACCGGGAAGGAATGCCGATCTCGAGGTCGCGTCGACCGCTGGAAAATGGGGGGCCGCCCGAACCCGGTATTTCCCGGTATTTCCCGGTATTTCCCGGAGGAAGACGCCTCTCCGAAAGACGGCGAGGCGTCCGGGCGGACGCCGCTCGCATTTCGATAAGGACCTTAAGGCCGGCGAGACTCGATAAAGGACGGAGCCGCGCTCGGCGGGGCTCAGAACGAGCGAGTCATGGAGTGGCAAAGGAGACTCCTCGGGATCTGCGCGTTGGCCTCCATCGCGTGGGCAGGTAAGACCGACTCGTTCGGGCGTTCGTCTTCGCTTCGCTCGATCCCGAGAGGGCGTCCCATCTTTCGCATCCGACGTTTTCTTCAAGACGTACGAGTCCGCTCGAGCGAGGAGGAGGAGAGGCGGTGGAACACGCCTCCGGAGTTGAGGTCCGAGCCCGTCGGAGGATCCTCTCGACTCTCGGCGAGTCTCTCCCTCGCCGTCGACGGGACCGGCCACCCTCCGGGATCTTGGGACCGGATGCCGAGTCGCCAGCGCCCCCGCTGGACCAACTTCGGGCCCGACCGGCCCCGACTGGAGCTCGACCTCGCCGCCGGGGGCTGGCAGAGCCGCGACCCCGAGGTCCGGATCTTCCGACGGGCCGACCGTTCGAGGCGAGCTCGCGCGGCACCGATCGGTCGTTCGTCCGCGACGTGGAAGCGTCGCCTTCCGTTTGCCGCGATCGAGTAGACCGTCGTCTTCGGGGGGAGGGGTCGAGAAAATCGAACGGAAGCGGCCGACGCTCGCGATCTCTTCTTTTCTTCGCGTATTTATTCATTTACTCCTCTTGTGGAAAAATACACGGCTCGCGGTCGCGAAACCGCTATTCCAACGATGGTTACGTAACGCGATCGACGTTTCAATGCATCGATCGTCTTGGCGCTGAACGTTATCTTTGAAAAATGTTTACCAGGTAATCGGGCGCGAGGCTCGCGCACGCACCGAACCGAAATACTGGCTTAACGAGCACGGAATGTAAAGAGAGATTAATACACGATCGTCGGCGGCGTTGTCTTAACGAAAACGCAATATTTTTACGTTATTCTCATTTTTGAAGCTCGACTCGAAACGGTCCAATCTTCTCCTCCCCTTCATCCCTGACTTACCGTCAAACGTTAGATAATACCTGGAGCGAAAACCCGACCGCCGACCGTTCCTTGTCCGAAGGAACTCGTAAACGCGGTAAACGGGCGGCATCCAATGGAGCCGAAACGACCGCGAAGGTGCAAGCCGCGTTTCCGTCCCGATTGACCGCCGTTCTTTCTTACACCTCGACTTCCTTCGGTCTCTTTCCAGTTTTATCGACGTACGGTAATCGGGCCCGCAGTTTTATCGACTCGACGAGGTTTTCAGAGGCGGCCGATCGTTTGGTCCGTTCGCGGGTGGAAACGAATTGGCATTGGCTCGATCCGCCCCGACGCCCTACGGTGCGGGATTAAAAAAGTCCGCAGCGCCGCCCGATCGTGATCGTTGTTATTCCCCCGGGCTGGAACGGCGCCGCGGATCGACCATTTGTGCCGCGGTTCGATTGGCGCGCAGCGGTTTCTTTATATACGCGTCGCGCTCTGCGTACGATCGAGCTCCCTCCCTTCCTTCTTCCCGCTCCGCGAAATGCAGCCGGCCCCCGCCTTTTCCTCTTTCCTTCGATTCGTACATGACACGGACAACTTTTTTACCGGCCGATTCCAAGAATTTCGAAAAGGCGAACGCGCGGCAGTATCCGTAAACGCTTCTCGACTGGATTTCCCGGATTTCCCGGATTTCCCGGATTTCCCGGATTTCCCCTGAAAGATATCGGCGTGAAAATGGATCCGGAACCGTGTTGAACGTTGAACGTGCCCCATAACGGTCGGTCGTAGTTCTTGATTCGAGCGAAACCGGCCAGGTGACGAGCCGTCCATACAATCCCAGGCGCATCCTAGCGTGAAACTCCCGCGGATACCCAACCGAACGCAATTTGCGCCCGTCCGGCGCAATTAACGCAAACTGCACCTTCTTAAACGACACACCGGTCTTTAGCGATCGGCGATTCCGCGAGCGAGGGAGGGCAGCGTCGCCGAGGCGTCTTCGAAGAAGAAACGTTCCGACGAATCTTCGGAATTCATTCGATCGAATCGACGTTCCATGTACGAATTATCTCTGTTTTTCCTCAATCGAGAACTCGTCCGTGGGGGAAGATTCGTAAAGCGTCGATGCAATTTATTCGTTTCAGCGGAAATTACGCGGTACGCGTATTTATCCGTGACGAATCGATCCATTTGCCGTTTTTGCCGATTTTTCCCACACGAAGGCGATCCTCGTCGAGCCGTTTCGTCCTTAATTATCGGTTCGTAACCCGCGTGGAGCTCGAGCTCGTCAAAAACGGAGCACTCGTCCTCGGTCAACGTCGGGCAAGGACTCCGAACCTCGGAGCGACTCGAATTATGCAAAACTGGGAAACCCGGACCCGGAGGCGCGACTCCCATCGCGAGGAAGCACCGTTCCCCCTCGCAAAGTGAACGCGTAAAAGTCCGGGGAAATCCCGAACGGACGTCGACGCCCCAGAGGGAGGGAAGCCGGCCGCCTCGGTGGCGGCGCGCGAAATCGAAAAATTCCCAACCGGGACGAGCGGCGTTCCGCAAAAACGAGGAAGCGCCTCCTCGTCGAATTACGCAAGCGTCCGGGTAATGCACGCGTGCACGATCCGCCGAGTATAAATGAGGAAAGACGAATCGATCCGAAGACAGTCCGTTCCCTGGCCGGTCGCAACCGAGACTCGCGATGCGGAGACTCGGCTTCCTGGGCCTGCTCCTCTCGGCCGCGGCCGTTTCCGGCCTGCCGGCTTCCGATCCCGGTGAGTTCGCCCCCGACCGGCGGTCGACTTTTCTTACCTGCCCGTCTCTCGCTTTGCCGTCGCAGACGCCGTCACAGACGCCGTCCCGCCGAAGGACCCGAGGCCTCCGCCCATGGGCGCCGAGACGCATCACGGCGTCGTCTACCTCGTCAACCTATACGCCGTGAGGAACCGAACCGAGCAGGACCCGGATAACCCTCGAAACGAAACCGCCGACGCGGGCCCCGAGATTCTTGGCAAGTGCCCTTCCGCTGTGTCCCCCACCCCTCCCGATGTCGCCGCCCGAGTGACCCGTCTCTTCGTTTCTTGCGTCCAGGACCCATCGCCACCGTCCTCCTCATAGTCGAGACCGACGAGGACGAGGGGCCCACGGACCTGGACCAGGTCGTTCGAGATTTGAAGAAGGATGGCTTCAAGGTCGAGCGGATCAGCTCCGACGGGGAGACCAAGCTCGTGAGGGTCGACGTCGACGAGACCGAGGAAGACGTCGAGAAGAGGCTGACGAAGCCGCTCGAATCGAACAAGATCCGGAGCAAGAGGACCCTCTGCATGAAATGCTTCAAGGGCGGCGGAGGGTGTGGCGGCGGAGGCTGCGGCGGGGGAGGGGGCGGGGGCGGGGGCGGATACCCCAGCGGAGGTACGTGCGACCGAGTCCGTGTCCACCACTCGGAGTAGCATTCGGTCTCAGATCGAAATGCCCATTTTGTAGGAGGACGAGGAGGAGTGGTAGCGATCCCGATCGCCGTGGTACCGATTACGGTTTCAGGTGGCGGATACGGGCACCCTAGCAAGAGCTACCACCCGAGCGGAGGCGGCGGTCGGTGTAACACTTGCGGAGGGTAGGTTTCGAACGGAACGCGTCCGTCCGACCCGGACGATTCGTAACGAACGTTTCCTTCGCTTTTCCAGAGGCGGAGGCGGCGGCGGAGGCGGAGGATACGGCCACTCTTACTCCCAAGCGTCCGCGTCCGCGCAGTCGTCCAGCTGGTAAATATCGGTGGCCGACTTTTCCGCTTCCCTCGAGCTACTCTGACGGCGCGTGCTCGTCCTTTTCAGGGGAAAATGAACCGCCCCGTGGATCCGGGGGCGCACGGTTCCGACGACGATTCCGAAGAAAATACAGTCGAGCGAACTCGAAAAAGTACGAAACGCCTTTCTTTTCGTCCCCGCCCGATCCCACCCGCGAGGACGAGTTTCCTCCCTGCCGACGCGACCTCTCGATCGACGTTTCGGGAACGACGGAGACCTCCGCGAGAAAGGAGGACGTCTGCTTCCCTCCGGCTCCGGCCTTTCGAAGATTCTTCCCACAGCGCGCGAGGAAGTCGCAAAGGGCGCGCAAGAGGAAGGAACCGGTTCGTCGAGACTCGCGAGCGTTTTTCGTCCGGAACCGGACCCGGTGCCATCTCGCGGCCCGTTTCCGATCGATCGAGGAACGATCCGGGCGCGAGTCTCGATCGGACGGCCGCGTGCGCACAAATCGACCTTCCTCGCCTCGCTCGCTCGCCTCGGCCGCAGCGGGATAAAATCGAAAGTGACGCAATTTCGAGAACCGGCGCGACCTTTCGCTCGGAAGACGCGGCCGGGCCAAGGTGACTCCTCGCCTGGGGACCGCCGTCGACGACGTCGTCCTTGGGACGACGTCCGGAGACCTAACGGTAGCGCCCGCGCTCGTTAACCGACGCTCGACCGACGCTCGACCGCGGCAACGATACCGACGTTGGCTAGGAAAGGCATCCGAGGAGGCCCGTAAACTCCTTTACGATCGTTCCGCGAAATGCCGACCGGAAGGACTCCGGAGTCTCGGGCCGACGGTCTCGATTCGATCCTTTCTTACGTCGAGATCGAAGCTCGACGCCTCGATCGGGGAACCCACCCGGAAGCGGTCGTTTGCAGGCCGCCGCGATTAACCGGGGTGAAGCGTTCCCATAAATCCTCCTCGAGCGGCCGCGTTTCCTTGACCCTCGAAAGCCTTTCGAAAACACGCGACGCGCGGAAACGGACATCGAAAGCTCCGGCAGGCCAAGAAAAACTTCTTGAATAACGGCGACGACCGACCTTTCCCAAGAATCGTAAGTACGCCCTAATTGCCTTCGATTGCCCGACCGCGGTTTAAACCGCGATGATATTTCAACGCCCCGGTCGTTAAACGATCAGGAAACGTTTTTCTCCAGAATCCCGTCCTTGGCCGACGAGGACCGAACGAGCGAACCGCTCGACGATCGTTCCCTCGCGGATGGCCGACTTCGATCTGCCCTGGACCCGTTGGTTACGTTTTACAATTGCCGCCAGAAACCTTAACCGCCCTTGGCGAAGGACTCCTCCGCGATCGAGGCCAAATTTAGTTACCAAAACGGGGAATCCTCGCGACTCTTACGATCGAGTCCGTGCCAGGAACCAATTAACGTAGCAAAGAGGCTCGATTAATTCTCTGCCTCCTCCGCAGCCTCCGAGGAAGACTTAACCGGGACATGCGACCGAAACCGGAACCCAAAACCAAAGAAATACTATTTTCTGGTCTCGACACCGATACCGCAAACCGGATTTCGTAACGTTAAAAAGGCGAAACTGCAGAACCGGATTTGCATTAGAGAGTCTTCTGGTGATTTAACTCGCGGCGTAACCGCGCGGACCCGATTCCACCAAAAGTTCTGCCCCCGTTCCTTTCTTCGAGAACTCATTCTCCCGACTCGAAACGGTAGCCGGGACCGGTCTCCGTTTCCGCCGTTTCCGCCGGTCCGCGGGCCGCTCCATTTTTGCATCGCGCGTGCCTCTGAAAACCACGAGGGCTCCCGTTTTTGCTCGGATATTAACGGAATGGAACCCCTCGGGGCCCGAGGCCTCGTTCAGCGATAGGGTAGGGGCCCGTAGATATAAAGGTGGGAGCCCCTTGCTCCAGGGGCCCAGTACCGTTCAAAGATGCAACCTGCCGGGATGCTGCGACCGACGGGGACCGCGATCCTCCTACCTTGCGTGCTTTTTATCGGTTATGCCTGTGAGTAAGAGGAATCTCGACCGAGTCCGAGCGATTTGAAAGCGTCGAATGCACGCCGGGCCCTTCGCGAGTGTGCCCCGGGTTGAAACGACGACAAACTCTTCCCATTTCGGTCGAGTCGATCGATTCGGAGATCGAGTCAAACGCGTCGGTTCTACGAGAACCGTGAGTCAGAACGCGCATCCGTCTCCGATGACTCCCGAGGACGAGTGACGTTAACTTATCGAATATGCCGATGGTGGAATCTTTAACTCCGACCCGACCCAGAAGGCGGAGAAAAAACGTCCCCGTGATTAATCGTTTCGCATTCTCAGGTGCAGGCCCGCTGCAGGTGTTGCCAAGTATCCCGGGTTACGTCCCTGTCTATATTCGACACGGCGACCAACCCCTAGAGGAAATCAACCCTGACCTCGCCGAAGCGTTCCACGAAAGGTCATCGCTTCCACAGGTTTGTCGATCGGTCGACGCTCCTTCCGTTTACGTCGCCCCGTCGGTTCGCCCACGACGGGTACGAAATTTCATGATTCGACGCGATTGCACAGGTCACTCGGAAGGATCGATTCGAAGATGTTCCTGGCCAGATTTATTCGAAGGAAGAGGAGCACGCATCCAAGACCGCCGATCACCCCGCGGACGTTCGCCATCGTCAAGCGGAGCACGATGAACGTTCGGAAGGCAGTTTAGAGGACGGAGCGATTCCGGTACTGATAGTGCCCGTCGGCCTTCGAATCGGAGCCGGCAACGAAAACGTTCAGGTGACTCTCGTTTACCGCGATCCTACTCGAAACGCGGACGATTTTCCTCAAACTTTCGAAAACTCGTGGTCTTCTCGAGCCTTGACCGAGCCTTGACTCGAGTTTCAAGAGCGACCGCGAGTCCGTCGAAAAGTTGACGAGGTCGACGCGAGGTCGACGCGAGGTCGACGCGAGGTCGACGCGAGGTCGACGCGAGGCGACGGCAAAGGACGAGAAAAAATAACGAAAGACGTCGCCGCGTTTGGTCCAGGTGAACGAGATGCCGAGGGCGGAACGGGAACTGCTGGAGAGACTGGCCGCGGAAATGGAGCGCTCGGAAACGAGGCCTAACGAGCTCGGTTCTAGCTCTAATTATCCGGAACTGCCGGCGAGCGTCGAACGAGGTCACGGTGGCGCCAGAGGTTTCCCCGGCTCGATTCTCGAGGAACCGGTTCCCGCTCGCGAGTCGCCGGCCCTAAGCCCTCCGGGGCCCCGGTTCCGCGCGATGGCGCGCAGGTCGGTCAGCCAGAGGGACGTCGTCCTTAAGAACGGCACCGAGGACCGCGCTCCCCGCGATCCGGTCACCGCCAGCCCCGCCAGCCCCGCCAGGAGCGCCCGCTTGGAAATGGACGACTGCGACCCACCGCCGCCCCCCCCGCCGCCCGCGCGACGATCTCCTCCTCCGCCCCCTCCGCCCCCGCGAGCGGCTCCGCCGCCCCCACCGGACTGCGATTATCCCTGAGTATCTCGCCCCCGTATCTTGAAATTCGGCTCAAAAATTTCGCGCCCTATGAACGAGTTTCCCGTAGCTCCTCTTCGTCGTCCGTCGTTGACCGATTCGGAAATTCCCCACTTGACTCGGCGAAATCCATCGATGTTTCCCTATCGTGCAGACAAAAATGAACGGACGCTCCAATTGATGTTTATTGCCGAGTTAGAAGGAAATCGTTCTAGTGAGAATATATTAATTTAACTCGTTACAACCCTTGGAAAAGCCCAAGAATCGTGCAATTTATGGACCGATGTCAGGACACGTATACCGAACAGGAGGACATCGAAGGAGACATTGAACGCGATCGTTTGGATCTTTAGACGGCGCTATACCGCTTAGAGTTTAGAAAAGCTTTAAAACGATTCCGATCGAAATTCATTAAATACCTTTGTCGAGCGGACCGGAGATTACCAAGCCAAGGAACGTGGACTCTTCGTCGTCCGAATAAAAAGTTGGAATTTAATGAAGAACGTGTTTCTAAGTTTAACCCTTTAAACTCCGCGAGTTACGGAACAAATAACGAATACTACGTGGCGGAGCTAATGCAGCACCAAGGGTTGACCGGGTGGACCAGGTTGACATCGAAGAAAATGAAAGGAAATGCCATGTTTTCGCCGCTCCGATATTCCCCATTCTCCGAGCTCCACGGACCACCACGGAGCGTCGCCGTCGAATTCGATGTTTGGGTTTGTTTACCCGCTGTCGTCTAACGACTTTGCCCCAAAACCAGCCGAGACTTTTCCACGCTTGGCGTGGACCTGCCTTCCCCTTTAAAGTCCATGCTCGCTGCTGGAAACAGCGGTAAACTGTGTGGAATGGTTTCGATACGTGGCCGCTAGGCGACGGCGACATAACCCAACATAACCCGGGGCATGGCCACTCTACAACCTCCTGTCTGCTCCTGTCTGTACTGGTCTGTACCGAGAGGCGCGTACGAATTCGCTTTTTAATGAGAATTCATCGTTTGGATCCAGTACGATCAAATTGTTCTTACAAATTTATCGTAAGATTCTATGACGGACGAAAACGTATATAGGCATGCATGACAGGCAACAGTTCGGTTAATGGAAGTTCGTTACCGTCCGATAACCTAAAAAAGAAAGGGGAAAGGATCGATATAAACTAGGAGTGCGATTTTACTCACGATGCTTAAGATTTTGAAAAAACGAAATCTGCTATTCGATGGTTTTAGAATGATGAGCGACTGTAAGACTTTAGTCGCTAATTCGGAAGAGGTGAATATCGTATGTAGATTTGTCGTCACGCGTAATGTCTTTTGCTTGACAATGTGTAACGTTGTAGTCATCAAAAACGTACCCAAAGAGAATATTTTCTGGAATTCAACCAACTGGCAACGTACATCTAGGAAATTACTTGGGAGTGATTCGAGACTGGGTTCGCATGCAAGACGCTAAAGAAGACGTTCTACTAAGTATCGTTGACTTACACGCGATCTCCTTGCCACAGGTGGGCAAGGATTTTTACAAAGACAAGTAGGCAAACTAAATGTACCAGAAAGCTAACTTTACCCTGTCCTATAGTTGTGTCGATTCCTTATGCTGAACTCCTGCCAAAATTATTGCTAAGATTTTTTTTTTGTCACTAGGATCCTAAGGAATTAAGGAAGAACATTTATAATCTGATGGCTACGTTATTAGCTTGCGGTATCGATCATGAGAAAACCATTTTATTTCAACAATCTGGCGTTCTGGCGCATACGGGATTATGTTGGGTTCTCGGCTGTTTTACGACGATGCCTAGACTTGCGCACCTACCACAATTTAAAGAAAAGAGCCAGAAAGTTAAAGACGTGCCTTTAGGTATATACATATACCCGGTATTACAAGCTGCTGATATTTTGCTGTATAGGTAACTGTGCGTGTAATTATTTCTGTACAAAGTATTAGCATAGCTACAAGTGATGAAATTATGAACATTTTAGAGCGACGCATGTCCCTGTTGGACAGGATCAAGTACAACATTTACAGTTGGCCCAACAATTAGCACAAGTTTTTAATACGCGATATGGAGAGACCTTTCCTATACCTCATTCTGTAATAAATAGTAAGTAATAACATTGATACATGGTATTGTGAATTCGCATACGTAAAATAGTAATTAATGGTCCTGGGAGGACATGAAGTATAATATACAATGCAGTTATTTATGGCATTGTCAATTTTGTATGATTTTCATGCAGCGACAATTTATATTTTAGACAATAACTTCAGGATTAGATCGTTACGAGACCCATCGAAAAAAATGTCAAAGTCAAGCAATGATCCCAAAGGTGTATTGTCATTGATAGATGAACCAAAAGTAATCGTAAACAAACTTAAAAAAGCTATTACTGATTTTACGTCACAAGTGACTTACAATCCCCAGGAAAGACCAGGTGTTGCAAATTTGATTTTGTTGCATTCGGCATTGAGCGGAAAAACTCCTGATGAAATCTGTTATGAAGCTCGTGATCTGGATACTGGAAAGTACGTTTCATAATATGTAAAATATTTAAGTTATGCTCCATTAATTGTATATTAACATCTATTATGAATCTACCAAGAAGTATTTATTATGCTTCTACTTTTAAACCTACTGGTATCATTATTTTTTGTTACACTCTCATAGGTACAAGTTGGTACTAGCAGCCGAAGTTGTTGATAGACTACGTCCTATTCGAGAAAGAATAATGGAACTGACGAATGAACCACAGTATTTAGATGATGTTTTAAAAAAAGGCACCGAACGTGCGATAGAAATTGCTGAAGAATGTTGGTTAGATGTAAAAAAGAAAATTGGTTTCAACAGTGACAACGTAACTTCGTATGGGAATCAAGTGAGAAAAGAAGCAAATAGATCATAATGTACTTATCGTAAATAGCGATATAAATTCATTAAGATACATAATTTACATCCATAATAAATTTATTTAAGACACTTCAAACGAGCTGTCCAATTATTTTGTTTAATGTCAAATTATGATCCTTGCTTTAAGTCGATTACGAGCTTCCCTCGCAAGTGACCGCGTGCAATTCGTTCATAAGCCTTGGGTAGATCTTTGAAAGCGTATACTTCCATGACCACGGGTTTTACCTGTTACAGCAGCGATATAAATTTCACTGAATTATAAAAAATACATAATGGTATTGCTCTTACGTGAAAAGTATAACATCTCACCTTGCCACTCTCTACTAGAGTTTGAAGCATATTGAGTCCTGTCCTGGAGGGTACAAAGAATCCCCACTTCACGGAACCAATTTTCTGTGGCTCATATATGTTGTATTTGAGTATATCAACAATATTCTTTATGCCACCACCGAATAATCCGTACTTATCGATATTTTTTAACATTGGTGAGTTTAATGTTATGTAGGTAGAATGTGGATAGCCTTTGACTTTTATTAGATCTGGCCCTTGATTGGCACAATCAAGAATGATGTCATATCTGGGACCAGTAGTAACATTCGACGTTATTTTTTTATGGATAAAATGCCTACACTATTTAATTCTCCTCTATATTTGCACATTAATGAAATAATAACATTTCTTTAAAATATTAATAAGTATAATTAATTAAATACATGTATATACTGACGGTCCTTCCGACTTTATCAACTGGTCAGCACCGTCACATTTATAATCGATAATGATGTCGGCACCCATCTTTTCCAAAAGAGTGATTGCGTCGCTGCTACATGTTGTAACAACCTGAATGCACGTTAGAGCATAGAACGTGCTGTATGAAGGTATTTTATACTTTGCTTTAATTTGCTTACATGCATGTTCCAAGCTTTTAGAAGTTGAATAGCTTGAGTTCCCACCCCACCAGAACCACCAAGAAGCAAAACTCTTTTGTTTCGATATGCAGCTAGATTGATTTTATAACATAAACCACCGGTCAACCACAATGCAGACCATGCCGTAAGGCCTGCGTACAAGATACTGGCACCTTCCAGATATGACACATTTTCAGGACGACGATTTATCTAACGAAAGTTGCATCTTAGAATTTCGTTCACACATTTATTTAAGTTTTAAATGAAAGGTCTAAAGCATCATTTTACCAAATCACTATCAACGACGACGCATTCCGAGTGACAACCCTGTTGATGTACAGGAATAACTCCCCATACTTGGTCACCTTGTTCCAACCTATTTCCAACACCGTGACCTTTCGAGAGTACAATCCCAGTAAAGTCTCTGCCCATTGTTAATGGAAACTCGATTTCCGAGCTAGTAATACTGGCACCGGTAAGAATACCTGTTGCCTTCCGCATTACGTTCAATACCTTAGAGCCATATCCTTCTGTAAAGATTTTGCTTCTGTACTCACGCCATTTGAAAATTGAGAAAGTACAAATTGAAACAATGATATCGTACTGGACATAGCCACATCAATGGGATTGACGCTACATGCTTCCACCTTAATGAGAATGTCATTTGGCTTAGTTAAAGTCGGCAGATTTACATAAGATAATCTCAAATCATTGGTTCCGCCGTACGAATGAATTTGCCATGTTTGCATCCTCTTATCCAGGAGTTCTTTATATTCAATTGCAGTTTGTCCTAGATTCCGGTAATGTACTAATAATGAAGTCAGGCCAGAGTAAGACGTAATTACTCTTGTTGTGTTTAAACTGACCCTCATTGTGAACAACAATACAACTAGATTGGATTAAAAGTATTACAAAGCAATTGGCTTAAAGTGATAAGTAACTCTTCTCAGATCGGAAGAAATAAGAAATATTGTCTTTCCTTATCAGAGATGAGTTGGGAGATTGCTCACGGGCAGGATCGTGCGATCACATCCTGTGCTGCCCTCTGGTTTCGTACGTTAGCTTTCACCGTTTTTTGCCCCCAAGGGCGGCGCAACGAATTTCTGGTAGGAGCACGCGCACTCGCGATGGCGGTACCATCTACCATTCGAGCGTTTCTCGATCATTTTCACGCATTTTCAGAGTGTTTTCGAGTGATATCGAGTGATATTCTAGTGTCTTCGATCATTATCGAGCGTTTTTTGACCGTTTCGAGTGTTTTCGAGCGTTTTTAGACCGTTTTCGAGCGTTTTCAAGCGTTATCGAGCGTTTTTCGACAGTTTTTGAACGTTTTCGCACGTTTTTCAAATGTTTCCGAGCCTTATCGCAGGCTGTACAGTGCCGTTGAGTGTTGTTAAGTGCAGTAGAGTTCCGTAGAGTCCCGTAGAGTCCCGTAGAGTCCC